TCGTGTTTGCTTCATCTCCTCTGACTGCGGTTCTGTACCAAATGAGGTACCAACGTCAATTTGGAAAGAGTAATGTTATTTCGTCCTTTTCAGGTTCCGAAACTGGGCTATAAGCCGCAGCTGTTGTTCGGCATGAGCTTGCTGGCCGTTTGCTTCGCCGTCACTCTGTTCTTCAATGTGACCTCTTACCAGGCTCCGCGGCACATCATCTACATAGCGACGTCGATCGCCGCCATCACTGACTCGTCAATCGTGCTGATGATGATTTGCCACACGACGGCTGCTGTGTACCCGACGGTCGTCAGGAGCAAAGCCTTTGGACTGCTGTTTGCGTGTGAAAACCTTGGCAGCATAATCATGACGATTTTGCTGAGCGACTACTTCAGCAATGGCCCCGTCGTCGGACACTTCACCTGCGAGGCGCTGGTCATCGGAGCCGTCTTATTGGCCATTCTCTACTTTCCGGAGACGAAATTCATGATCACGCGCGAGTTTTTGATTGACGTCTTTCCGACTTACAATTCAAACATCGGGCAAAGCTGACACACAATTTCGACTCAAAGTGAATCAAGTGTCTTTGCGGCGACGGCCAGCAACCGCATTCAATACTTCTTCCGTTCCTCCTTTTCCTCGCTGACTTTACTTCCTCCTCGAGCACTCCGTTTTTATCCGTCGACTTTCTTCTTCAGTTCCAGCTGCAGTATTTTGCACTTATTTGACAGATTCTAAAACGAAATGATTCAAAATTTGTATCTGCTCGATTTGATTTTACCTCGTTGCCAAATATTGCGCGGCATCGTTTTGAAATACTCACTGACATCAAATGAGGAAAAGTCTGGTCATGCTTATTGCATGGCTCTAAGCAATTTCCTAAAAAAATTATTATTTGATATCTTCATCTTCCATGATCGTTCCTCCTTTCGAGCTGTATAGACAGGCGAGTCAGGTAGTTCACAATCCTGTGCCAGAGATTCATCTTCGGCAGAATACAAACGGAGATTAAAACAGGCTGCCCAAAAATATTTCCACTAGATTAATTTCGGCCATTTTCTGGGATTACTGCCGATCGAATAAGCAAAATGTAGTGGCTTCGCCTCTTTAGAAGACATTCACCACATTCACCAAACCATCGCAGCTTCTACTTCTCAATCTGAAGAAACGGCGTCTGCATGCCAAGGGTCTCGCGGATTTCCGTTCTCCGGACCACGTCGAGACGCGTAAGACCAGCGACTCGTCTAAGAAAGCCCATTTCAGCAGCTTGAACCCGGGTTCGAAGTTTTTCAGTGATGGGCCATGATTCAAGACCCAATAGTTAAGTATGGGGATATAGATCGACTTGAATATCGAGAGCTTAGTTTTCAGACTGAGCTCTGCTTTAGTCACAGTGGGTTCACGCAGAACGCCGCTGGCTACAC